AAGATGCCATTGAAGCAGACGGTAGCCTCAACTTTTTCTGGACGGACTACACTGAAATTAATGGCAGCCTTTGTCTTTTCGGCAAGGTTCTGAACAAAAAGACCAAATCTCACATTAGTTGCTTCGTCAAAATCGACAACATCCTGAGGAAATTGTATTTCTTACCTCGGCAACAACGTGTTCGAGATGGCGACAGCACTGAAGAGACTGTTGAAATGGCGGACGTTTATGAAGAAGTTGACGAGATCATGACAAGGTTGAAGGTGGACATGTACAAGATCAAAGCATGCACCCGTAAATACGCCTTCGAACTCCCAAATGTCCCAAAAGAGGCCCAGTACATGAAGCTATTCTATCCCTATACTAGTAAGTAATGACTCGAACCACGAGCGGAACTCAGGTTCAATGGAGAGATTGCGAGTTAACACACTATTCCCAGAACCACAAATTGATGCTGCCGCAGGCGAGACATACTCGCATGCATTTGGTGCCAACACAGCCCTATTCGAGCAATTTGTACTTTGGAAGAACATCATGGGCCCTTGTTGGCTAAAGATTCAGGATGCTGACTTCGGTGCCATCCATAATGCCTCACATTGCAAACTGGAAGTATTGGCTGAACACCCAAACATGGTGTCAACCATCAGCGAGTCCGATAATCTCGACGCGCCACCACTGACCCTCATGAGTGTTGCTATCCGAACCGCATTTAATGCAAAAGAGAATAAGCAAGAGATTCTTGCCATTAGCGCAAGAGTATACGACAAGGTCTCACTGAGTGAAACAATGCCAGCAGAAAAGCTCCCGTGCAGAACATTTACGGTTATTCGCCCCCACGGACCAAGCTTCCCTTTCGGCTTTGATCAGTTAGTCCAAAAGAGGAATAGGGGCCTCCTCGTGTTAAAGAAGCAGGAAGTAGACATTTTGAGCTTTTTTTTGGCTCAAGTTGACGTGGCTGATCCAGATGTCATTCTTGGGCATCAGTTTGAAGGGGTAGACTACAGTGTGCTTCTGAGCCGCCTCCGCGAGAAGAAAATTCACCAGTGGTCCAGACTTGGTCGCCTCCGACGACGTGAGTGGCCTGCATCTATTGGCAAAGTCGGTGGTAATGTCTTTGCCGAACGCCAAGTCATTGCTGGTCGACTATTGTGCGATCTTGCCAATGACGCCGGAAAGTCAGCCATGTACAAGTGCCAAAACTGGAGTTTAACCGAAATGTGCAGCCTGTACCTTTCCGGAGATAATCGCCGGAGGGACGTCGACAACGAGGCAGCACTAAGCAGCTGGGCCAAAGAAAAACAAGGCCTCATGGATTATATCACGCACATGGAAGCCGATACGCACTTTATTGCTGCGTTGGCGTTAAGTGTCCAGCTACTTCCTCTGACAAAAGTCTTGACCAACCTTGCTGGTAACTCTTGGGCCCGAACATTGACTGGTACACGAGCTGAGCGTAATGAGTACATTCTGCTTCATGAGTTCCACCGCAACAAATATATTTGCCCGGACAAGCAGTCATTCCGCGGCCGCCAGAAGCGGGAAGATGAGAACCAGGAAGAGGCTACCGGAGAGGGGAAAAAGAAGGACAAATACAAGGGTGGTCTGGTCTTTGAGCCCGAAAAGGGTTTGTATGACAAGTTTGTTCTTGTAATGGACTTCAATTCCCTATATCCCTCAATTATCCAAGAGTTCAACATTTGCTTCACAACAGTTGATCGAACAGCTTTGGTAAGGGCATAACATGTATTACTAAGAATTTATTTACATGAGCATCACGACTAACTGAGGCGAAATAGGCTGATGATGAAGATGCGGTTCCAGAAGTACCCGCAGATCAAGATCAAGGTATACTACCGAGACTTATTGCAACTCTTGTTGGGCGTCGTCGCCAAGTCAAGGCACTTATGAAGGACAAAAATGCAACCCCTGAACAACTGGCCACCTGGGACATCAAGCAGCTTGCTCTGAAGCTCACGGCCAACTCTATGTACGGATGCTTGGGCTACACCAAGTCCCGTTTCTACGCCCGGCCACTGGCTGTTCTGACGACGTACAAAGGCCGTGAGATTCTTCGAAGCACAAAAGAGCTTGCCGAAAGCAAGTCTCTGCAGGTCATTTATGGCGACACTGACTCCGTCATGATCAATGCGAATGTGGACAGTGTTGCTGACGCTTTCAGAGTTGGCAACGAGTTCAAGAGGGCCGTCAATGACCAATACAAGTTGCTTGAAATCGATATCGACAACGTTTTCCGACGTATCTTGCTTCAGGCAAAGAAGAAGTACGCTGCTATCAATCTCATTGAGAAAGATGGTAAATTTGTCGAGAAGATGGAAGTGAAGGGCCTGGATATGAGACGCCGAGAATACTGCGCTCTATCCAAGGAAATTTCAAAACATCTTCTTGACGAAATTCTTTCAGGCGATGAGGCGGAAGTTGCCATCACGCGCATTCATGAGTATCTGCGTGATATAGCCGGCAAGATGAGGGAGCAGAGCATCCCTGTAGCCAAGTATATTATTTACACACAACTTGGCAAGGGCCCTACAGAATATCCCAATGCGGATTCTATGCCGCAAGTCCAAGTTGCTCTTCGCGACATTGCAAGAGGCAAAACGATTCGCAAAGGTGATGTCGTGTCATACATCATTACAGGCGATGGGACAAGTTCCGAACCAGCCCCCAAGCGTGCTTATGCACCAGCAGATCTCAAGTCAGACTCCACTCTCGTCCCCGATGTTGAATGGTATCTCGGAAAACAAATATTCCCGCCTGTGGAACGACTATGCGCCAATATTGTTGGCACTTCTACATCACAACTTGCGGAGCAACTTGGTTTGGATATACGTCGTTATAGCTCAAACCAAACCCAGCAGAACAGCTCCAACGATGATCTCGAGATCCATCCACTCGAGTCCCAAATCCCCGATGAGGTACGATTCGGCGACTGCACAAGGTTATCTCTTCGATGCCGCAAGTGCAAGGTCAGCACCAAGTTTGAAGGTCTTGTCGTCTCTCCTGATCGAGTATCAGCATCCGGCGTGCTCTGCGGCGGTTGTGGAGCAGTGATCCCAACTCTGTCCGTCGTTGCCCAAGTCGAACATGCCGTTCGCAGTCAAACATCTCGCTACTACGAGGGTTGGCTTGTCTGCGACGACTCTCAGTGTGGTAACCGCACAAGGCAAATGAGCGTCTATGGTACTCGTTGTCTGGGACCGAAAGGCCTCGCGCGCGATTGCCTAGGACGTATGCGCTACGAGTACACAGAAAAGGCTATTTACAACCAACTCGTATATTTTTCGAGCCTCTGGGACGTAGACAAGGCTCGCAGCAAGGCAACCGACACAAACAACTCTACTCTTTCACGCCAGGGCAGGGACACAATCTTGGCTCTTGCGGAACATAACCGCGTCAGATTTGGCACAGTCAAGGGCATCGTTGACAAGTATCTCGATAAGTGCGGCCGACAGTGGGTAGCCATGGATACGCTCTTCGCCAAACTCGGATTCAACAAGCTGCTTGCTGCAGCGTAAGAGCTTGGCAACAACAGAAGGGTATTCAATGGATAGCTATGAGTGTGAGTATAATTGCATTTGGATATATCATGAAGGCGTTGGGTGAATGACTTGATTTATGGTTTAACGGCGCGCTGTTGATATAATATCCCGACAGAACTTGTATATAGCGGACGACGAGCAAGGTTTTTTTTAATGGGCGTTACTCATTGGTTAAGATCAAGTTGGCTGTAGCAACCGGAGAGCATTCCAGGGTTTTTCATTATATTACGTAGCTTGATTTTGAAACGAATACAACATCACCATAACTTTAGTTTTCGAGGTTGAACGGCGTTGGCCGTTAAAAATGGCAGTGCCTTTCACGTCTATAGTAGTTGAACGAATTATTGCTTCATGGCGATACGTAGCGATACTAATCTACATAAAAATTGATGACACATGAGTGATTCAGACACACAAAGCATTTAGTAGAAACAAACAGATCATGAACAAATATGAATTTCCGTCAACTGATGAAAATCAGCCCCAAGTGCTCCATAAATTAGATATACAGTAAAAAAAAGGTGCAGCCACTGATTCCCAACAAAAAAGCATCCGTTCATTGTTTCTCCGATCCTCGGCAAGCGAGTTACAGAAGTTTAAGCAAAGCGACAGGAAGACACCTATGGCGACTGGTGAACTCTCCATGCAGCTGAGTCTTTGCTCGGTAACAGCTAGTGGAAAGTAAGGAATGCTCCAGCTTTCCTGAACAACACGGCATGACCCCCTTGCGAATTTCATGGTTTTTTGACCTTCCTTGCCCCCTCTTGGAAGCGAAATCTCCAAAGTCCGCCCATGGACTCAACTGCGCTGGTATGACAGCAAAGTTGAAAACCTGCCCGGGCATATATCATCTCATAAAAAGACAAACGAACAAATCTCAACCACCTTTTGTGCATTCACCTTCTCCGACCTCGTCATCGCCTTCATTGCCACATGCTTTCCTATCAGTAGTCTCGATTCTGCTTTCATCCAATCGAACGCGAGGTAGCTAGACAGCATCAACAAAGGCCCTCATATACCATGCTTGGTGTTGGCGTCCCTCGACAAGAATCAGAAGATGTTGGAACAAAACCGAGGGGCAAGCAAAGGGAAAGGCTGAAGGGGAAACAATCCGGCACCGCGATGAAAAAAAAAATGCGAGAAATGCTTTTCTGGCGCAAAACTGCTCTGCCTGTTCTGTTACCGCCGCCCACAGTTCCCTTTCTGCGTCTGGCGAGAGACTTCCCCGTTCTGATCTCAAATAGTCTATGGGTGAGGTATCGTGGGTTCAAAAAAAATGCGGCGCGCAACTTTTGATTCTTCTCAAACATGTAAGAACGCAAAATGGAATTAAAATGTAGAAGCCCTGTAAATGCAAAAAGAAACAGAACCCGCCAAGTCTATCACCCGAAATGCAAGGACACCGAGAAAAAAAATTACGACACTGATTAGGTTTTTCTTTTCTTACTCGCTCTCCTTCTTATCGCTGTCGGGAACAGCCTTGGCCAGAAGAGGAGAGGGTCCTGCGGATGGAGGTGAGGCGGGGTGTTCGGCATCTACCATATTCGCGAGTAGGCTATTGTCAGATTAGCATATTAGTCTCACAGTACAAGAGATGGGCAGGATCCTCTTCTCACCTGAATGCGTTCGTGTTGGAGGTGCTATCACGATTGGGAGGAGTCCCAGTTCGAGACGATGCTCCAGAGTCTTCACCAGGACGACCCAGGGAGCCTCCCGGTCCGAGACGTCGGCCACTGTTACTACGGGAAGCAAACATAGAGGATGGACCAAGGGTGACGTTCTGGCTCGCGGTTCTGCTAGCAGAGCCCTTGAGACGTCGGAGGTCGTCCATGCCAACCTGGTTGCTGGTTTGCTGCACATAGCCGCCAGAAAAGTTGCGAGCGTCACCACGGCCCATGGCAGGGCGGCCAGGACCGCCACGAGAGTTGGTTCGAGCGGACTCTTGGGCCTTGGCAGCCTGGGCTTCGGCTTCGGCACGCACTTCATCGAGAGTCTTGGGGCCCTTGTTGGCTTCCTTGGAGACCCAGTTGGCCCTACGCAAATCAAGAACATCCATAAGCATAAACTTCATTCTGCTCTGCAGCTCAGGAAGCTCAGCCATGTTCTGAATGCGTTGGAAGTAAGCGTCCATCATGGGACGGCCCTTTTCGGTGGCATCCAAATTGGCACCAATGGTGCGCAACAGCTTGCTGAGGGACTCAATTTCGGCCTCATCAGGGACACCCTTATAGTCGACAAGTTTGTGAACACATTCGTGCATGATACGCTCAGTCAACATGCCGAGCTTGTACAGCTCACCGATGAACTGGACGAGACCAAGACCACGTCGCTTGGCGGCGGCAGCTTCGTAGTATTCATCAGACAGCATAGCTGCGTCACCAAGCGTCTTCTTGGAGCTGTCCTCTGCACCCTCTTCCTCCTTAAGTTGAGGCGAATTAGAGCTCCAGCCACGCTCAAACTCTTCCTGGCATCTGTTGAGAAGGTACTTCCTGAACAAATTGCCACCACTGACAACGTTGCCATTTTTATCCTTGATGCGCTCGTCGCGAACGTCTGCGCTCATGTTCTCAAGCATACGCTTGCAGAACTTGGCGTACATGGAAGCCCAGTGCGCTTCATCAGTGGCCTTTTCAAAGGTAAGCTGAATGACTTGACGGAGAGTGCGGCCATCAGACTCATCCTTGGATTGCCCGGCAATCGTGAGGATCTGGTCGGCGATTCTGTCAAAGTTCTCCGGGGTCATCTTGTTGAGGGCGGCCTTGACCTTTCTCTGCACCAATTCAGGGTCAAGGTAACCGCTGGCATTGGCAGCAGGAGCAGACGCAGAAGGCTTGTTGCCAACACTGGTCGGCTTCCAACCGCTGGAAGTGACGGCAATCGGTTTGATCTCCTGACCAGCGGTTAGGGGCATGGTCTTAGCAGCCTGGGCTTCCTTGGTGTTGAAATCACGTCGGCTACCGCGGGTAGAGCGGCTAGACTGGCGGCCACTGGGCGAGTTGGGGCCGGCGGCTCTAGACTGTGATGAGGTACGAGACATGGCGGTGCCTGGGAACCCACCACCAGGGCCTCGGAATGATCCAATTGAGCCAACGGGGGGTCGAGGCATGGTGCCACTGGACATGGCCATGCGCTGCTCGGAGGTAGTACCTGACGGCAGCGTGCGGCCTGGAGGAGCGTTGAACGTCCCCATGGAGAAGGTGTTGCTGCCGCGGTTAGAAGGCTGTCTAGGCGTCTGGGCGCGAGCAGAACGGTCACCGTCTCCGATTAGGGACTTGACCTGCTGGTGGAACTCTACAGAGGGTTGCTCGGTGAAGACCTTTTGGAACTGCAGCAGGAAAGCAGCGTCATACTTGAAGCTCTTGCCCTTCTTAGCGACAGCGGCGTTCAATGCAGGGTTCGGGGAGTTGATGCCAGTCGGGTAAATCTCCTGATCCATGACCTGCAGGAACCGAGAGGACTTGAGGGACTGAAGAGCTGCACTGGGCTGAGGAGGATCGACAGGCTTGGTGTTGAGAGGTGTTAGGTTGAGGGCGGCAGGCTTGGCTGAGCGTTTCTGACCAGCGGCATCGCCAGTAGCCTTCTCTTCAGCAATCTTCATGCCAGACAGTTTGTCGGTAACAGAGTCGACATTGGCGGCGTCGCCGTCCCTGACACTTCGGGCAGCAGCAAGGGCCTCTGCAACTGACATTGTCTTGCCAGAGGCTTCAGCCTCCTTTTGACGTCGCTCCTTTTCCTCCTCCAGGCGTTCCATCTCGCGTTCCTGCTCCCGGAGTCTGCGGTCTTCATCGGCAGCGCTGGACTTGCGATTTTCTTCATCCTTCTTCTTTTGTTCAGCCTTTTCGGCTTCAGCCCGCTTACGGTGCTCTTCTTCTTCCTTCTCGCGTTTGGCATCGGCCTCTTCCATTTCCCGAATCATGCGCTCAATTTCATCCTCTTCCGTGTCGCCATTGTCTGCGACAGGCTCAGCGGGCGGCTTCTCCTCTTCAGCCTTGTTTGGCTCCTCAACTTTGTCAGTTTCCTTAGGAGCCTCGACCTTGGGAGTAGCAGTAGAGGCAGCGGCAGCATCTTTCTCGGCAGAGCCGTCGGCCGGCGCCTTGGTTGTAGTAGCAACAGCCTGCTCCTTGTTCTTGGCTTCATTAGCAGCAGCTCCCTGTGTAGCTTGCTTAATCTTCTCCTTCAACTCATCCTGAATCTCCTTGGCCGTCTTGGGGGTAGCCGTGCTCTCAGAGCGACCATGGGCAGCAGGTGTGGATGATTTGGGGGGAGGAGTAGGAGTTGAGGCCAGAACTGGAGGAGTTTTCGACGGCTGACCAGTGGGAGCAGGGGAAACAGGTTGCTTGAAAGTTGACGTGTCCACAACTTCACCAGCGGCATTCTTGATCTGAATAGCCGCGCTCTTCCTAGGCTTGACAAAGTTGTTGGGTCCAGGTTTACCCTGAGAGTTGGGAGGCTGCGATGAGCCGACGACGAGGGGTTGGCCTTGCTGGTTGGCGCTGGAAGGTCGCTCGGGTTGCGACGGGGTGCGAGACATGCTGTGGCTTTGTTGGGGAGCATAGGGGGGCGCAAACTGCTGGTTATACGCTGGAGGGTTAGTTTGGGGAGGGCCCATGTACGGCGGAACATTGTTGTAGCCATATGGCATGGACATGGGTCGGCCGTACTGATCCATCTGCTGCGGAGGATAGCCATAGTTCTGATGCTTCATAGTCAGCCAAAGTTCAAATCCACCACTTTCGGGAGATAAATCAAGAGAAGATGCGTCTTGAGGGGCAAACTTGGGCAGAGGTGGAGGAGCATGATGATGGAGATGATGATTGTGGTATTACACTGCCGACCTAACGTCGCCACCGGACACTTCACTTCGACTGCTACCAATATCACGGTCACGCCACTGTTGCTCTGGCCGCTGCTGGAAACGGCGTTGAGGCTGACTAGGGTCGCTTCCGCGTAGCTCGCGTATAGAGTCCAATAGGCGCCCTGACTGCAGGGACTTGGCGTGGTCGCGGCGAGCCTTGCTCTTCTTGAAAGACTTGAAATGCAACTTATCAGACACGTCGGGGAGAGGGGGCTGTACTTGTTGATGCTGAGGTGCCATTGGAGGCGGATAATGGTACTGAGGAGGTGTACCCATGGTCATATTCGGCTGCATCGTCGCAGGAGGCATATTGGGAGTATTCGGCATCGACGGGACGAGAGCAGGGCTTCGGGCCGGCTGGGGAGAGTTGGGATACGGCATGTTGCGCGGCTGAGGCTGGAATGACGGAGGCATTCCACGGCCCTGGCCGGGACCGTTTCTGAACTGGTTGTTGGGTGGGTATCCCATCTGATTGTTGTACTGGTTGTGAGGATTGAATCCTCGGCCACGGCCGCCTTGAGGAGGGAAGTTGGCTCGGTTATCACCCTGGACAGAGTGGCTCGACTCGCGTCTATAATGGGCTCCGGGCTGCGATCCCATTGCACTCGGGTTAGGAGGGACAGAGCCCTGTCTCATGTGGCGCTACAAGAGTCAGAAGTTAGCGATGCCGTCTGTGCTTAGAGATTGGGGTGCCAAGGGGGGGAGTTGAGATGTGGGAACAGTGAAGGACCAGAGCAGTCTACTCTTTTCCAACTCTTCTTTTTCTTACCTCGCCATCGCTACTGAGGCTGCCAAATGTCATCTGGCCACTGCCCGGCAGACCGGAAGGAGGTCGACCACCGCTGGCAGATGGCTGGGGAATCGGAGAAGGAGAGTGGGCGGGCGAAGGCACGCGATGGTTGCCGGCTCCAGGAATAGGGATAGGGGCAGCGTTGGCAGTATGAGGAGTGCTGTGTGCCATGGCAGGCGAATCGAAGCCAAACTGAATGCCAGATTTGGCACCACCGTTGGCCGCGTAGGAGTTGGGGCCGTTGGCAGCCATGGTGACGGAAACTTTTCTCGAGTGGTCCACGCCGGAGCCGTTGGTAGAGCTACCGCGGGCAACAGCAGGGACAGCAGGGGCGACGGCGGGTTTGCCGTTCACAGAAGATGACGAGGAGGTGTTCGCATTCTGTGCCAGAGAGGCAGAAGAAGAACCAACCACGACAGGAGGTTGGGAACCAGTTGCGACTTGGGACGGTTGAGCAGCTTTCTTAGGCGCACCTGCAGCGGAGGCATAAGAAGTCGCCGTGGTCGCGGAGGTATTGGGCGCCGGGATCGGGTTCTGCTGATTCGCAGGCGACGTCATAAGGGGAGCAGTCTTGTCGGATCGCAAGAGGATTGACAAGGAGGCTGTTGCTGATGCGGAAGGCCGATGGACAGATGCCGAAATTAAAGAGGGCGGCGGATTGTGGTCGAGAAACTTTTTTATGGAGTCTCGCAGCTCGCTCTCGAAGTGTGGTGGACTCGACTCCAAAGCAGCCCAAAAAAAAACCAGGTTTGCTGTTGAAGAAGAAGACGAACAGGTCGCCAAGAAAGGCACGCGAAAATGATTAAATAAAGAGCTGGCAACTGATGGCGGTTTGGAGAAAGACAAATTCCCAAAGCAAGCCAGAAGAAAAAAGGGCCAAGGAGTGGAAAAAAAAAAGCCGACCAAGCGCGGACCGCAGGCGTCGCGAGGCACGAGGAGCACGGCGGAGGGCGAGGACGGGATGCTGGATCTGAGCAGAGGGACTATTAGTCTTCTGGCAAGCGAGACACAGAAGAAGAACCCAATACCAACAGAGGGGAGAGGGGAGAAAAGGGTCTGGTGAGGAAAATAATCCACCTAGACCAGACGGTGGTGTTTTGGTTGGAGTGGTGAGGGTTTGGGAGGAGGTTCCGCAAGAAAATTTTGGGCAGCAGGATATTAGTACTAGTACGGAGTACTAGTATGCGAGCCTGGCTGGGAAACGCGGGAGACCATGGGAGCGCATGGGGCATGGAGCCTCAGATGGGCGGAAGGGGAAAGAGCCGGGACCGTCCATGTCCCCTGCCGCGACAACTCAACTAACTGGTCTCAGTGCTGGCGGCTGCTGGCCCGTGGCCCGTGGCCCGTGGTCATGGCACTCAACGTCCACTGGAGGCGCCCGGCTTAGGGCAGGGAAGCGCCTGGTCGGTACATACAGTGGGTGCATGTACTGTCCGTAGCGCTCCAGGGCTGTGCCGCAGCGCACCATTGACACTGAAGCACCACCAGACACAATGTGTCAATAGTTGATACAGTGACCGGTGCGACACACCTTCAGGAGGCTAGCCTCGATGGGCCGGGCCCGTCGTGTGTGACAAGACTGCTTTTGCGCACACTGTATACATACTCACGCGTGTCGCCCGCTCATACAGTGCGGCATTCCGGCCAATTTTGACGCAGGATACACTGACGCCAAGTGGCCGTCACTCAACACTACTGGTTTGCTCTCTCGCGCCGCGCCACCAGAGAGTAACTTTTTTAGCAAGCAGTCCAAACAACTTTGTGAACTTGATAAACCAAGGCCAGTACTGGCCCGGCATTGTCGATTTGATGGAGCACGGCGCCGAGTCTCTTCTTCTAGGACGCTAGCTATTAAACGCAAGCACATGCCCAAACCAAGCAGCCCGTTGGTCACTTCCACGGTGCGATGAGGGCTCAATGCCGCATCGTCATCTCTCGCGCACCTAGGCACGCAGGTACCAAGGTTTGCACAAAGCATGAAGCCTACTCCCGTAGTGTGGGTTTGGATGTTTCTGCAAAAGAATTGTGGCGTGTTTCCTTCTGCTAATGCCGTTGCTGGACCGGTGCGCATAACTCCATGCTCTGTTGTATAATAATTGCGGAGTACGGCCGGGAGACTTGGCACGGCTTTACCGTTATGCAGCACATCATGGACGAGAAGGCAAAATGCAGGGACAGTCTTCTCAGCTTATTTGATTCAGCCATCAGGTCTTCACTCGCTCACAGTGCCTAGTGATGAGTCATACGTATATCTGTCAGTACAGAGTCAGAGGCCGATTTCTTGTTTCCAGATAACTACTTAAGTACTAGTACCGAGTACCACAGAACGTCACTCCGGCGCCGTCTCTAGAGTGCTCAAGTGCGCAAGTGCGCAAGTGTGCGATGTGTCTGCTGTGATGTGGGCCGTGACATGAAGCAAACAGTAAATAATAGGTCATTGCCCACGTCGCACAGGCGAGCAGGACACAAATGAAAGCAACTACTACGGAGTACGTACTCCGTATACGAAGTATTCATATTAGACTATTCCGCAACACGGCGAGACATGATTCGTCAATGGTTGGACGCTTGGGTGGGAGATGGACACGAAATACTACAACTCCAAGGGAAATCCTGTCACTGCCTCCTCCGTACTCCGTACCCCCTACCCAGTTATGCGCTTGGAGCCAAGTTGCCGCCTGCCTCGTCCTCGCCCTTGTTGGCTGCCGTCGCCAACTCCTCGTCGAGGCATGTCAACCTCCGCAAATGTTGCCGCGACAAAAAAGTGGTTGAGTGGGTCCTGCAACCACTTCAATTTGCGTTCCACTGTCTGGCCCAGAGCTCCCACGATAAGCTGACCTCTAAGTACCTAACAATGAGGATGGCAACGTACAGTAACAGTAGCAGTACGTAACTCGAGGCTGGACACGTCCCACGCCTGGTCTCAGACCTCGACCTCAGACCTCAGACCTCGACCTCAGGCCCCCAGGTTTCCTTTTCCTTGGTTGGCCGAAGCCTAAACCAACCCAAGCCCATGCCTTCTTGCCTCTGATGCAACAGCCAAGTTGTTCGCGACACGCTCGCGTCTCTTAGTAAGGCACGCCGGTATGGTTCTGTCACCTGTGGCCGTTGCCGGCTTTGTGCTTGGCGCGCCGTCCAACAGCAGAGTTTCGATGCCAGAGTCGCTCCAAGTACCTACCTAGGTAGCTATGAAACTTTGATTTGACTCTTCCATCAAAATAGTATAATACCAAAAATAATAAGAAAAGCAGAGTGACTTTCTTTATGCGTCCCCTAAATTAAGGTTGTGCTATCCATCCAACTGTCACTTATTAGTCTCGCCAGTCCCAACATTGAACCCGTAAATCCAAGGATGATGTCCTAAACTTGGGTAGCCCCAAGACACACCTGCATCGTGCAAAGGCACCGTGACGTGAGAAAAAGAAAAGAAAGTGCTCGGCCCGAAGAAAGTGCAACATTCAACGGATCCTGCTCATCGTACTTGCCGTGGTGAAAAGAAGAAAATACAGCATACCTACCTAGGTAGTAGTTAAGCCCTCCTAAAGGGGGTAAACAAAAGACCAGGTAAAGTCAATAAGCAAAAACGACATGCCGCGCGCCACGGGAACGATGTCATGTGATGTCAGGTTCACTCTGTTTGGCGTCTGCTTCTCAGGAGCAGGCGCAAACCATTCAACCCTATCAAGTTAGCAACATAAGTCAGCCCTTCTAGCAAGACGCTAGCCAGCAAATGCCATCGCATCCCGCATTTCCATCACCCAATCCAAGCAAGAGCGCACCGAGTCGTCCTTGCCAACTCCGTAGTTTCGGGGCAGCCTTGTGTCATGCAAGACTCTCTCCCGACAGCAGCCATCTCACACGTGCACCGGCGTCAACGACATCATACATAACATACAGACGGAGTTAGCGCCCCGGTACACACATTTCCTGCTTCCAGTCAGTAAAGGGCTGTCCAATCAAATGCTCGGGCATATTGCTTCAGGAGCGGGTGCTCGAACCCCCAGAACACCGGCCCGTCCCCTTTGAACAGTTCCTTGACGGAGCGTGTGACAGACACACCCACCCTACATGTACCCTCTTCAGGAGCTCGTTGGCTGCCTTGGCCTGCGTCTTGCAAGGCATGAGGATGAGGGATGGGTGAATCACAGTCATCCGTCCACTCAACTGGCATCTGCAAAGGGGGGACTCACTCTCCGTACCCCAAGTTTACATGTACATACTAGGCATGCCCGCTACGCAGTAACGTTGCGGGTTCACAAGACCCTGGCGAGCTGACGAGCTGACGAGCTGACGAGCTGGACATCTGAGGCTAGACCCCAAAATTGGCATTGGCTAATCGCGGATTGATCATCGCCCTCCTTTGCACCACGAGGCTCATGCAGATCGCCCATGCCAGTGCCGGTGGGGTGGAAACCTTGATGTACTTGACCCTTCACGCAGGAGAGCGCGCCGTCTGGCGTATTGATCATACTGCATAGTCAGCTCGAGCTCACTCACCTTGATCACTTATAGTGTCAGGTACAAGCACGCAGTCAAGGGTACAAGGAACATGACACGCCTATTCATCTTGTCAATTATCTCAGTTTGCACTCAGAGTGCAAAATGCTCTGCCAAATATCAGACCTCGGTTTACGCCCAGATCTCAACAACTAGTTCTTGTTTTCGCCTTCGCGAACCTCCAGAATATCTGGCTCCACTTCATTTTCATCTTCAGCATAGTATGTGGCTGGTGCTTCATCTTCCTCTGCCTCTTCAGAAATAGTCTCTGGGGCAGTCGTAGCAGATTCTCCTCCCTGCGCCTGCAATTGTTCAAGCCGGGTGTTTGTCATCTCAAACACATATTGTCCTAAATGCTCGACATTTTCCATAACCACTTCGCCTTCCACAGTCGAGTTATCCTCCAAGTTCGGTCTCTCCGTCGGCCACATCTCCCCTGTTACAAGCATCAACTTGTCCGGCCGCTCCAGGAGGAGATCAAATGCAGGTCGAAGCTCGGGGCACGCCTCAAACACTTCCCTGCGACCAAGAATATACAATCCAAGTCTGGCACGAGAGACCGCAACCGTCATACGCCGGACATCGCGCAAGTAACCCACCCGCGACGTTCTGGTCAGGGACAGTATGATGTCTGCCGTGGGAGATTAGTACAGGTAGGAGCAAAACCTGGGGCCGCGGGGGGGCAGCACGGGATGCATGCATTCATTCTAAACTTACAATCATTTTGTTCGCCTTGGTACTTGTCCACCGTGGCAACAGCCTTGGGAAGACCGAAAATGGGGTTCTTAGCACATCTGTGAGCAAGAACATCCTTGACCAGAGCTCGTTGCCCGGCGTAGGTTGTGAGGATGCTTATCTTATCCGCAGGGTATCCTAGCAAGCGCATGTACTGATAGATGGCAACTGCATATTCTGCCTCGCCCAAGTTTTGAATGAAATGTGGTGTCGGTTCTGATTCCCCACGGCCCTTGTAGTCGGGCACGTTGATAAACTGGTAATCAAACTTGAAGCCAGCATTACCTCTGAGAAATTCGGTTTGGTTCTGCACATGTGGCAAATTA